AGTTACTAACAGACAGTAGGTATTCAAAAAGCCAGAAAATATTTAAGTTAAATATAATCATCATAATAGTAGATCATAAAATTTTAAAAACCTTCCGTATCTTGAGTTACTTTGTAGTCTTAAAGCTCCTAATATCATAATTGTTATCTATATAAACATAGATAATAAAGCCCTGATTGATCTAAACCCAACTGACCAAAGCCCTAAATAGCCCTCCTTCAACATTTTAATTTTAAGAGATGGAGCCAAACAAGATTATATCAAAATTTACTTAAAAGTATATGTGCAACTCATAACTTTTATACACCATCTTGTATAATTCTGTGAGTACTCTGCCTGGTAGATCAATGCATGCTATCAAAGCTTTAAAAATGAAATACAGTAAATCTCATGACCATCCAGCTCTTGGTGGATTCCTGTTTATATCCTCAACACACAATTTCCAAATGTCCTTTTCTCCGAGAAACTTTGAGTAGTCCCCCTGGTTTCTCCCTCCTCCATGAAGTTTATTTTGAAGTTTTTTCTCAGAAAAGAGCTATCAAGTAGAATTAAATGCAGGAGTTCCAGACTACAAATATCAACAGCTGGAAACTATAACCAGAGCTATTACGCACTGAACATCTCAGTAAAATTGAATTAGGTCACTGTTTCAGGATAGGTGTGCGCTTAAGACTTGTTTTGGAGACTGTTAACACATGTAGCACTTGTGATCTTCCTCACAAATATGTTGACCATTGTTTTGGTTTGTTATTTTGTTTGGGGGAGGGAGAGTTTTTAGTTTCTATTTTTTTTAAAGAAGGAGAATATTTTAATAGTATTTTATTTTGCAAAACTAAATTTGTACTAACATTTTATTTAAATGTACCTTAAAATTATTCTCATTTCAAATTGTAGTCCCTAAGAGCATTGTTCACAGACTCTATGTCTTTACTATATAATTCCTTATGTAAGTTTAGGACCTTGAACCCTTACTGATGTTTCTGTGCCTTTCTGTCCTTTCTTTATCAAACTTGTCTTACTGTATGATTATTTTAATTTTTTCTGAACTCCATGCATCCATCTTTGCCATTGTATTTCCGGCACCTAGCAGAGAGTCTGCCACAGTTGTGGACCCTCAGTCCATGTTCTCAACATTTCAAAGAGTGATAAGTGCTAGGAAAATAGTATGGCAGTATAATGTGATAAGGGTAATTGGGAGATTTCCTTAGATTAGGGTTCAAGGAAGGCCTCTTCTGATACCTGAATGACAAGAATGAACTAACCATGGAAATACCCCTGGGCTGTTTCTGCCAAGAGTGTGGTGGGCAGAACTTAGACCCTTGAGTTTGGAATAAGTTTAGCACATTTAAGGAACATGTCTGACTGGGAGGAGAGCAGTAACAGATGAAGTTTTAGGTAGGGAAGGACTAAATTATGAATTGTCTTGTAGAACATTGGGAGTCTGGATTTTATATTATTTTATATTTTTGGATGTTACCTTAATTGCATTAGAAAATCACCAGATAGTGTTCCTCTTGGAAGGAAAAAAAAAGCCCACTAAAATGGGCTTCAATGCTTAACTAAATTTAAAGTCACTATAGAAATCAAATGATTTATCCTTTGACTATGTAAAAATAAGAGGAATCTATAAATAAGCATAGTTAATCAAATTAAATAATTTTCCAAATAGCATATATATTTATTATTTATAATAAATATGTGTGAATATTACTGTTTCTTTACATTTAAGAATATCCACTATAAAGTATTCTCTCGGTTGATTCCCACAAGTCTTGTGTCTTCTATCTGAAGTGCAGCTGTAATGCCGTACCAAGAAAGTCTTCATGTCGCATAAGAAATACTCTATGCGTACATAGACCATCTAGCACTTTATGTTCTGTCTTTTTGGTGGAATATTTTGGAAACCTTAGTACCATTTTTCCTGCCTCTACTTTTCCATAATATGAAATTTTTGAAGTATGGTTCTTAAACTGCTTTAATGTTTACCACAAAGTCATACCAAGATATTTGGGAGATGGGCAGAAGAATCTTAGCGTAAATATGCCAGCCCAAGGAAAATGGCCTCAGCCTCCTAAACCTGTGTTTCCATGAGGGCTTGTGGCAGATACACGTGCCTTCTTGCTTAGTGACAATTTCAAGGATCTGTAATTTTTATTATTTAAAATCTCCTCCTCCCAGAGCTTAACAGAATAGCTTAACACACATATAATTACTTTCCTGTCATTTAACACCTTATGGTTGTCAAGGTTTTTTTTTTAAATGCTTAAAGAGGGTTTAATAAGTTTCTTTGAGCCAAATCCTCTGCATTAGAATGATAGGTGCAGGTCACTGAACCATTTCTTTGTTTCTGTGGACAATGTGGAGTAATATTAAATCATTGTTACAGTAGAACACATCAGAGAAATACTTCTTCTGCAGCTTTTCCAACCCCATATGTCTTAACATTTTCTCTAGCTGATTTTAAGATCGTTTACTCAGCAAGATATTTGTAATTGTGGATTTTATTATATTTGTCTGAACCAGGACTCACTGTGCTCCTGAATCTGTCGATTCCTATCTTTCAGCAATTCTAGAGAGTGCTAAGTCATTATTACTTTAATACTGTCCCTTTTGCTTTCTTTTCTCTCATTTGGAATGCCAGTTAAATGTATCAGATTTGCCCCTCCTGTCTCTTAACTTTTCTTTCAAACTGTCCACTTTAAATTTACTTTAGTACATTTCTGGAAGGTTCTCAAATCTATATCCTAGTTTACTAATGTTTTCTTAAGTTACATCTAAAATTCTATTTATCAATCTATTATGTATTTAATATTAGAAGAATATAAAAAAATCCCATTATTTAAAATTTTCCCATTATTTTTATTTTAATTTTTAAGTTGAAATAACGGGGAGATCTCTGGGTTTTTTCCATAAGCTTTCTTGCCAAACCAGGCAGGCTTCCTTGTTCTTTTCTACTTCTGATGGGAAGCTGCTTTTCTGGCCTTTCAAGGGCCGGGATCTAGGTTGGCAGCTCATTTCAAAATCCTTTACTGTCAGGGATGTAAGGATTAGCCTGTTGTCTCAATATGGCCATTAAAAATCTATTCCCTTGGTTTACTGAGAGCCTGAAGTCATTGACAATGTTAGTTAATACTTTGAGTTGTACTTCCCTCTTTTGTTATTTTAAACCCTAGACCGTTATCTAGTAAAATATTGGCAGAATGTAATTCTTACTGTAGTTACTTCTTCAATGTTTATTTTTTCTTTCTTTTGAATCCATCCTTGAAAATATTTGAGTCTTCTAAAAAGATTTTATGATTAAAAGAATATATATTCTTACCTCAAATACTTACCAGAAAGAATACAAACGTTAGCACTCTATACTAGCAAAGTTCTAGTTTTATGAGACTATTGACTTATTAAACCCTGTTTTAAATCTCTGAGGTCATGGGTCTTTCATATGTTATGCTACTTTTTTAATTCACATAATGGGAAAAAATTATGATACGGACAAGTACTTTTTTCCTCCCATCAGGGCTTCAGTTGAGATTTGCTCTTATTTGGTGTCCTGCCATCTTTTCCATTTTAAGGTATTTTCAATACATCATATATTTTAGCACTCCCCTGTGAAAGCACATCAGATGTTACATGTTTCTCACATTGGTCATTTTATGGAATTTGAGCTATTAGGCCATAATTATGGTGTCTCTCAAGATCTCAGCCCTTCCTCTGTATTGAGATTTTAATAGTTCTTCCTGTTACTCTCTATTCACCAGATCTCTTAATTCTTTAAAATTGACTCTCTTGAAATCCAATACTTACGTGTCACAGAACCAGATGATCCAATTTGCTTTTTTGGCAAACACCATATAAAGCTCTGCCCATTGCAAAATTCAACAAAAGATACTAGTTCTCTCTAGACTACTCTTGTAGAAAAGGATGTGGACAGACTTGAGGTTTGAACTCATCTGGGCTTTTTTGTGAGTTAACTTATGCCAATTCTCTGATCTCAACTTGATCATTTTATACTAAAAGAGAGTAATAAGGAATACCAAATTAATGGTTCCAAGGCACTTCGGAGGTATGGCTTACTAATAAAAACATAGAGCTGTATTATTTCATAAAATGAAAACTAAGAATATGGTTAGTAGCCTTGAAGATCTGCACCGGCACAAGATTTGGTTTCTAATGATGTTTTCCAATTTCATCTTCTACCATGAATGCAGTACTTCCTTTGAAATTATTAGCAATTAGCAATCTTAAACGTAGGGTAGAAATATTGTGCTAAGTAACTGAGCAGAAGGTGAGAATGTATACGGAAGAATTGAAATCGAGGTTAAATGCTGTTCTGGTATCAATTTACCCTTCAGGCCCACTTGTGGAACCTTTCTTTCCACTGGGTGGCCTTAGCCCATCCCTGAACCCATTTCCTCACAGATAATGTAGGGCTAGTAATGGTTCTTACTTCACATACAGGGTTGTTGTGAAGAAGAATTCAGTATCAGAGTCACCAAAGCCATTTCACAAACTGTAAAGGCAGTAATGATCTATGAACTCAGATGGTTTTAAGAGTTAAACAAAAAAAATCAGAGATTAAGAGAATATGCTTGTGAACCTATTGAGATTGGAGAGGTGGCAGTTGTCAAGTAGAATGTCAGAAATACTAAAATTAAGAAGTTAAAAATGATCACAAAATAGTAAGACTTTTGTTGGTATCAAAAGAGATACTAAACTATTTGTAAAAACAAAAAGAATTAAAAATAGACAAAGTAATTTGTTGAAAGGTCCTAGGATGCTACTAGTATGTAATTGGTTAATGACATCTGAGTTTCTCAGTGATTTTTTTTATCTTTTATGAATCTGAAGTTAAGTGAAGTTACAAACTATAAAATATACAAATAGACACACTCAAAATAATAATGTAATTTTGTCATATATGTTGGTAGTACAAAGACTTGTACAAATTTCATGAAAATTATCCTTAAAATGAAATGGCTAATAACTTTTTATTTATCTTTTAGCATACGACGGCATCAGGAAAGAAGAGCAATTTTGACTCCCATTTTAATGGATTTTTCTGTTCGAATAACTGGAGCACCTGCCATCATTTTCACCAAAATAATTTCTCTGGAAAATATGCACACTGAGGTTAGAACTTAACTTAGGTTTTGTTTTAGTCTAAATAATGGAGCAGCTTCTCTTTGTGTGTTACAGGGTTTCATAGTTTCAGTGCACAGGAACACAAATTAGCTTATTATTAATAAGATACTACTGTAGCTAATAATTATTGAGCGCTTTTTGTACTATTCAGTTATTTCTCTTTGTGTAATAACTCATTTAATCTCCATAATAATCCCATTAGCTTCTCCTACTGTCCTCATTTTGTAGATGAGGAAACAGAAGCATAGAGTTAACTTGTCCAAATTTTCACGGGTAGCAAGGAGCAAAACATGGTGTAAACCCAGCTGGTCTGGTTCCAGGCCATACACTCCTGACCTCTAC